ACTCACACCCTCAACAAATCTACGATATTCAGACGGTTCCTGGCAGTGGCATCATGGTACCGAAGATTCGTCCACGACTTTTCATGAGTGTAACAACCACTCACACCAAAGTTGAAGAAGGTCAAAATGTGGGAGTGGTCCGAGGAACAATAGTCAGCATTCGAATTCCTGAAAGACGCCCTCGCACCGGTGTTGGCTTGGCCGGACTTTATAAAGACTGACGCGGGAGATTTTGGGCTCGGAGCAGTTCTAACACGAGTGTTAGAGTAATAGCATATGCGAGCCGGAGACTAAATAAAGCCGAAGGTGACTAATCACCAACGGAGAAGGATTGCTTAGCCATAGTCTGGGCAATAAGAAAAACAGGCAGTATCTAGAATGGTAAAGATTCACAGGGATTACCAATCACCTGGCGTTGAAGTGGCTTAACGCGATCGAGATGTGTGCAGATTTCGGCGGACCGCTACCACGATCACAACTCGGTAATACAATGGCTCTTTCTGGACTGATTCTCTTAATGGGTGGAGATCGTGCAGTCCGCAAATATATAATAGTGATAAAGAAATTAAAAAATTTCAAGATGTAATAGTGACAACAATTATATATAGAAGACAGAAACGATGCGCACAAAAGATATAAAAGAGAACAAAAAGTACCAAAAATGTTTTGATATGGACATCATCGGTAAATAAATGAGAAACAAAATCAAATATACATATATAAAAGGAAGTAAAAATATATACAAATATACATACATACAAACAAGTGAATATAAATATATATATATAAATATATACAAACTTGAGAAAATATACATACATTCCAATAAATTAATATACATATATGCGAACAAGTGAATGTAGAGAATATATTATATATATTATACACACACAAAACAAGTAAAAATATAGATATACATACAAATAAGGAGAAAAAATAATCAAAATACTACCGCAATAATTCGACGCAGAAATATTAAATTATATATTGACCGGTTTTAATGAAATTTTAGGTGCATATTCAGAAGGTCTGAGAATAACAAAGCATCTGCTTTTCATTCCGGGAAATGAACCGGTGACTGACCTATTCCAAAAAATCTTATTTGTCGTTTGATTTCCTTGAAACTCGGCACATAGGTAGTTTTTTGCTTAGGTCAACAAAAATACTTCTCTTCGAAAAGTGGATCAGGGACTGACCTATTCGATAAACGTTTATTTATTGTTCCACTTTCGTGAAATCGGTGGCAAGATTAACAGAAAGGCACTTCTCTCAGGGAAGTGGGCTTGTTCGAAAAAAAAATTTTTAATGTTCGGCTTACTTGAAACTCGGTACATAGGTGGCTTTTATCAGTGAGAAGTGGACCGGGGACTGCCTATTCAAAAAGTCGGAATATTCCTCTCTCCGGGAAGTGGACCAATGTCAATAATAAAACCAAAAATTCTCAATTCCCCAAGTATTGCGTAAATAAAGTCACCTTATACCATTATTAATTTCACATACATTCAATGAGTATGTGTGGCAGCGAAGCGTTGCAGGGTACAGCTATTGTGTTTTGGCCTTAACTGTCGAGCTTCAACTTTCTGTATTCTTTTATTTCAGCGGACAATATGTATAAGGTTAATAACTAGATTTTAACAAGCAGTAATTTGGATACGGCCGCAATAGCCGAGTGGTTAGCATCGCGTACTGCCATTCGGAAAGCCAGGGTTCGAGTTCTTGTTCGACGAACACCCCACATTATCAAAAAATTGTTTTTCTAATTGCTCTCTGAGTGTATTTATGACATGAAATAAAAGCTCCTCATAAAAATCCAGCAGCCGTTCGGATACGGCTTAGAATAAACTGTAAGTCGCTCCATTTTTTGGGAAAACATCAAGACGCAAAACCACAAATTGGAGGAGGAGCTCGGCCGAAAATCGTTACAGCGGGACAAAGCGCTAATTATGTGTATACACAAGGTGCGTTTTGTTTAAAAATAGACAGAACAAATGGTTATCAGTAAAATCCATTAAAATCGAACGAGTGTTTTAGCTCGTTGCCCACGTCTGCATAACGCTTTCCTTTCATCGGCAAATGCATTTTTCCAAAAAGGTAGAAGTCGCACGGTGCCATATCAGGTAAATACGGTAGTTGAAATGTGATTTAGTCTTTTTTTGCCTCTTTAATGATGTCCTTTGAATGTAGAATTCTGAGCAATTTTTGGTCGTCAGTCAATTTGTGCGGAACAAACCGTGCACACACGTTTTGTAAGTCCAAATATTCGATCAAAATGCGATAAATCGATGTTTAGGAGATGCTTAGTTCTATTTCCAAGAATTTCAATGAAGATTTCGGCTGATTTCTTATGAATTCACGGGCAGTTTCCATGGAATTTTCGGTGATCACGGATTTTGGTTGGCCGACATATTCATCAACATTTATGTCCTCACGACCACTTTGAAAACGTTGAAACTACTCGTGCACTCTGCTACAGGAAGGGCAGTCATCTCCATAAACTTGTTTCATCAATTGAAAGGTTTCAGTAAAAGTTTTACCAATTTTAAAACAAAATTTAATGTTGGCTCTTTGTTCGAAGCTCATTTTCGCACCGATGACAAAAACATACTGACACTTAAAACGCAACAACCTCACTTCCAATAGTTGAAATATGATGAATGATTACTGGGAGTCGATGAATAATGCAGATTATAACGCACTAGTCGATATAAAGATTACGCCACTATAGGGCGGTAGATTCAAAAAGTCCTGTTTACCTTGGAACGCACGGGACGTTGTAACAAAGTTTATATCAGAATTATCACTTGCTCGAAACTTTTGAAAGAAAAACTATTTTTTGTCATGTTATTGCTGGAGGAGAATTTTAATAATTTCGCTGTCTGGATCGATCGGAACAAATTTCTTTGAATATCAAAATGTGTTTTAGTATTATCTTTTCAAAGGGCTTGGCGTGCTCACGTTGACCTATTATCTTCTTGATAATATGCTCTCTTCTGAATCTTATAAAACAAACTCATCTTACACTCCTTACCTTCTGGTCCGGGCTCTCCGTAAAAAATGTTTGATAGCCGTTACTAGATGAAGTGCCTTAGCACGCCACATATGGCCAAGCGTGAATTTTATTTAGAATTAGAGAAAGGAGCAAAATACTTCCGCATGTCTTCTTCAAGTCTTGTCCGCGTAGTTTACAGAAGAGCCCCTTGAATTTTTGGTAACAAACGGAATTTCGTTGATACGATAGGGTTATAAATATTGCTTATACCGGCGGGACAATTATTTGCTATAATATTAAAGCAACCCTACGGAGTGGACGCGAATAAAGAACGTATAATGTCGGGGACGAGCCTAAACTAAGAAAAGAAAATTAACGTATTTAGTTATTACCTTACCATGTATGAGTCCTTGTACATGTTCATATGTCATGTGCGGTCATTTTTTTATTGTATTTATTTATGTTTACAGCTTCATAATGACAAGATATACACAAGAAAATCGTTTACAAAGAACAACAACAACCTGAAAACGATAACGATTTTTAAGGAAAATCGTCTTCTCCGATGAGGTTCACTATAATCTGAGTTTTGTGGTAAATAAACAAAACTTTTGATTCTGGTGCGAAGAAAATCCACAAAATATTCATGGAAAACTATTACATTGACCTAAATTGCCAGTTTGGGGCGGTTTTTGGTCTGGGGGAATCATTGGGCTCAAGGGCTCAAAAATTGGGTTCATCGAATTCGTTCCTAAAAAAATCTTAGAGGTCATTTGAATGATGTACATTCAGAACTTAATTGATTCGATTGTACTGCACATTAAATAAAAAACATTTGATTTTTCTTTACAATTAGTGTGTGTTTCTTTTAGAAATCATATCACTCTTATTGGAAAACCTTATATGTGCAATACAAAGTAAATAATTCGCTCGATCTTTATTTTGTAGGCTTTCAATTGCGATATGATATGTTAATATGCTTATATGTTAAACGACGCCACCTAAGCAAGTATCTGCATTTAAGCTCAAGAAGATGAGAAAATAGATGGATAAGATAAAATAAACAATACGAACAATAAAGGCCGATTTGGGGTCTCGACAGGCAATATGCTTCAGAATGACAATTCATTCAAAACGATCACTTTAAACTTTCAAGTAAGCTGTTGTATTTTTAATCGGAATTCATACGCTGAAGGCTTATCATATGCATAAGCATACTTTGCCTTGATCGACAGATGAAACTTTGACTACATGGCGAGGCTAAGGAAAGGATTTTCACAACGAACGTTTTAACTTTTTTAAAAATCAACAGAAATTTGAATTTTTACTTTTAGTTCACTATGAAATTAATTGTGATGTTATTTAAACTCTTCTATAAAATTTAAATATGTTATATTGCCTTAGAGAATGTAGACGCTTAAAAAATATTGCATGCTGCGCAATATTTTGCATCAAGCCGATTCGCCTTGATTTAATTGTTATCTGCCTGTACTTGCTCTTCAGTTCTAACGTAAACGGAGATAAAACTGTAAGCTTTAAGGCTATCGACATAGTTTTTTTTACAGAATGACCTGTTTGTACCATCCCATCTTCTATTCTATTCTATGTTTTCTCTATCTCAGATCCTAAGAGCATAGTTATTTGCTTAGAATTCCGGAAAGAAAAATTTGGTCAAGCTGTTTTAAAATTATTCAGCCACATTCATAAACCTGTGTATATTAGATTTTAGTTAGGGTGAATCTAAATAAATAAAGCGTACTCTAGTCTTATGTACAATATACAATATTCTTGAAAATGTACTCAAAGTTTGCTTATTACTCAACTAGAAGCTACCAAAAAGGAAGTTTTTATCCTTAAATTAAATACATAAAGCAGCTTTCCTTTTTGGCCTTTTCGGGAAAAATGAATGATATAATATGAAGTGTCATTCATAATCTTAAAAATACGACATAATCTATATTTTCCAACAACAAAACGTATTTTTGTACTTGCGTACTCACGTTATACTTACCTTGGTATACATGTTTCTTACTTCCAACACAAATAGTTGATGCAAGCCTCCATTGAACCCTTCAGTACAAGATATTGTCATTGAAAATGCAGACATGTCAATAAAGCTGCAGTTGTGAACGGGATCCGGACGACCTTATAGAAAAAAAGTTTGAAAACATTATCATTACATCTCTATTTGATATGAATTTATGTACGTATCTATTAAGCTTGATTATAAAAAATTAAGTGGCGTATGTAACTAAAACAAATATTTAATCAAGGCTTGTACAGAAAGAAAGTCCTTTTTTTAACATAATATCTTAAGCACCATAATAAAATCAAGTATATAATAATTTATTTATTTTATTTTAAATTTAACTACTTGATTAAAGTGAACAAAAAATCCTCACTGACATACAGTATGCCAATATTTGATCACACCTGGGTATCAGAAAAAGGTGTTTGCTGGTAACTTATTAATTTGTAATGGCACTCGAATTTTATTTAAGGTAATAAATTAAAAGTAACATATTCCTATCAAGACACATGTCTGCTTTCTTAGAATTGTTGAAAATATCCCCGCTGATCAATTGACATAAACTATTTTTTTTACTTAATATTTAATATGACCCTCTTTCGCTTTGATTACTGTCTCAATTCGTTTGGGCATAGACTCGACCACCTTCCTGCAGAAATCTCTGCTAATATTTTGCCAGTCATTTTGAGCCTTCTGCCATAAATATTTAAGATTCTGACAGTCATCTGGCGAGTCAGAAAACGCCCGTTTGACCTCAATATAAGCACGTTCGATTGGGTTGAGGTCTGGCCATTAAGACCACTTGTAAGCTTCTGCGCAAAGCTTGTGGATGGATATCAGCATATTCGTTGGCATTCATTCGTCAGGGAACCTTATCCTCATACACCCCCACATTATTATATTGTATTACCCCCTGCGAACTTCACCGTTGGATGAACAATGCGGCTTGTCAAGGTTCACGTTTTTTTCCAAATTCATTGCTGCTCATCTTTTCCCAGACGGTTTATTTTTGGCTCGTCCGACCATAAGACTTGCATCCAGTTATTTTGGATGTAGGTTTTCATTTTTTTGTAACTTGAAGCCTCAATATAGGGTTTTGCCATGAATGTTTTTTTTAACTATTAATTATAAAAACTTGAATAGCAGTGCAATATTACTTCGACTAATTTTTCTCTACTTTACAAAGTAAACTTTTCTGACAAAGATAATATGATACGAAAATCTTTATCTCGTGATTGCGCCGAAAAATGTACGTTTTTTATAACATTTTCAAACCTTGTCACTACGGTGATACTATAGTAGTAACCACTAAATTTACTTTGCATACTCTTAAAACCTAATTTTGATCAAAATAATGGGATAGAATTTCCACTACTAGCTAATCCCTTACTTAATAGATATTTTTAATCCACTCTTCTTGTCACATATCTATATAGAATTTTATTTAATATAAAAGTTAAGCCCCGCAAGAAACGCCAATGTTTACTGTTTTTCAAAGAAATTGCTTCTTGGGTTCTTGTTCTTTTGGCAGCAAAGCTAATTTGACCACTTTTATTATAACATAATATAATTAAAGCAAACTTTTGAGGAAAATTGAAAAAAGCATTATCTTCAAAACTAGTTTTTAGCGGATTTTGCATGGCAGCTCACATTTTAACTCACAGTTGACTGTTGGGCATCGATCTTGTATTTTGAGCTAGCGAGAAAACCTAATCGAGGCCCAAAGATAATAGATAAGTGAGTAACTTTCATATCATATTATATTATCTTTGTCTCTGGTCAACTAATTGCAAAATTCTCTGAAAAATAACAACCTTTTTCCAGCAATCCCGGTTTTGTCTAACGGACATTTCATATACCTATTTAGCGAATTTATTTTTTTTATTCAAAAGTTTATTTAAAAAAAAAAAGAACAAAACATAATATTTGGAAAAGGTATGTGATCAAATAATTGAATTACTTTAAACACATAGGATTTACACCTGGATCCAACTGGATGAAGATCCAGATGAAAACTTTATTCAATTTGATATTAAATATCTTAGAGAAATTATAGCCAATGGCATTTAGAATAAAATTTCCTGGATACGATAGGGCAATCAAACATATGCTTTATATCTTTGAAAGCATATTAATGTTGCGATGCTCATGTATATGATAAATTTTAAATAGATGGACTGCATATAGCTGAGATTATGCTTCCCGTAAATATTTATGCCGTTCCAAAATGTTCATTACTGGCAGATTTCAATGCTCTTCCACAAGAAAGTGACTTATCCCCCGTTTTTTTTCCCTCGCCACATAAACTTTTGCGGATGACACGGCAATACTTAGCGTACATTCAGACCCCTGCGGTGACTTGTAGATTATAATGAGTCTCCGCAATTCCTTAAAAATTTACGTAAAAAACTGACAATTGCTCATTAAGGTTATCTAATAATACGGTTTACGATTAATGCTTTTATCCTCGTGACTGGGTATCTGCCAAAACAATCGCAATTCTTAAACCAAATAAACTTATTCAGCTTTCCTTCTCCTACATGTAATCTATACATTACGACCAGAAAGTTTCCGGAAATTATTTATTTTTTTTTTTGATATTCGCGGTTTCGTTCATCATGATAAAAGTGCTGGAAAATCATTAATCAGTTTAAATCACGATTTCCGAAACCTTTCTTGTCTTAATCTGAGTAAAACACTTGAAAAAATCGATCCTCTTTTCACGGGTCTTTTCCAAGATGTGGCGCATGGTGAATGTCTGATACATGCACCTGGTCAGCTCTTCGCCGCCATGTTTGAATAGTTCTGCCGGTAGGATGTCAGCTCCCGTCGCTTTGTTGTTCTTTAAGCAGGCGATTGCTTTTCGAACTGGTCAGGTAATGGAATGTTTTTCCATCGTCATCGATTAGGATTTCTGATTCACCGCTTTCTCCATTTCCCTACTATTCAGCAGGTTGCAGAAGTGTTCCCTCCATAAATTCAATATACTCTGGGCATCAGTGGGTAGATCACCTCTTTTTGTCCTACAAGAGCCTGTTCCGGTCTTGAAATCTTCCGTAAGTCGTCGTATCTCTTCGGGCGTTACCCTTGTTGGCCCGTTTCTCAAGCTCTCCATACTCACGCAACTCGGCCCCTTCTTATTTTTGTCTGCGAATGCGTCTTGCTTCTCTCTTCATATCTTGGTATCTATCACATCCCGCCCGTGTTGTGATCGATCGCAAGGTTGCGAGGTAGGCAGACTGTTTTTTCTCTACTGCGACACGGCAGTCCTCATCCAGCTGTTGTTGCGACCTTTACGAAATCCAATAGTTTCGTTTACAGCTGTAGTAAATGTCACAAAAACTTACTCGCTTTCGTCCTTGTCCCGTCCATCGCACCTCTGGATGGCGGTGATGTCAGCCATTATTCTAACGAGGACATCAACCAGATGGGCAGCGGCACCTTCCCAATTAAGGGACCGAACATTTCGGGTGCGTGTCCTCAAATCATGATCATTAATTCGTTTACGGGGGTCGTCAACAGAAAGGGGGTATCTCATCCCAGGTGTTGTCAAATGTTTATTGGAGCTGGTTTCTACGTGGCGGGTCTCAAACACAGCGCACAACCTCACTAGGCGAGTAAGTTTAAGTTTTTTACACATTTATAAATCGAGCCGCTTGCTTCAAGACCGCCGCCCGCTCGCAGCCGCACCTATGGTAAACAGACGCTGCAACTAGACTTCAGTAGACCCTTAAGCTGAATAAGTCGCAGTGGCTCTTCTCATCGTTAGCCGTGACCCGAGGCTTCCCACGGGTTGTTCACGTTTCCAGGGTGCACGACGTGGGCGCAAGAGTAGGAGTTGAGTATAGCCTCGCAACTGTAACAGCATACCCAAAAACTTGACTAAGCCCCATTACACCTCCATTTATTTTGATTGATTGATCATAATTAAATATCTTTTTTGCAAATATTAATTTTCTCATAATCATACCTTAATATAACAAAAGCCCTATTTCTCTCTAAAATTGATTATGCTTTGCCATTATTTGGATACTGTGCCACGGTGAAGTAACGTAATAATAAATTTAGCTCAAGTTTAAAGTGTAGTGTTGCTAATACCGAAGTTCCTGGCATTTATCCTTTTAAAAAGCATCTCTTCCGTGGTTAATGTTGAATCTTTTGCAGTTCTTAAAGATATGCAACACACAATAAAGAGTACAGGCAAATTCGTAATTTGCACTGACAGCATTTCGTGCTTATTACCTTTCTACAATTTTATCTCAACGATTTTTCAACTTAAAGATTTGTGTATTAAATATGTAAACAAAATTTCAATAAGTTGGGTTCCTGGCTATGTTGGCATAACTGGCAATGAATATGTTGACAATATCTCACGGTATTTTGAAAGACTTATCCAAATTCATTCTTAAACATGTAAAGCAAGAAAAAAGATTTTTAACTTCATTTCCGAATGTAATCTATGAACTGTATATGAACAATGACTGTTTGAAGATTTCCTAATATTTCAATTAGTCAAAAACCATATTTGGTAGCTCTAATAGTGCTAAAGACGTAGGATTGGAGCACTTTGTCAAGCGTGCTATGCGAAACATTTGGTGATTTCCACTTCATTTTCTGAGCGGCTTAGGGTGGCGACGCCGTTTTTTCTCGGATTATTCTATTTTTTTTTTTAATTGGTTGTTCGAAAAACTTGCTCATAACTGGTGAATGACCAGAGGCCAAGGCGGAATTGGCTACGGCGTTTATAATCGTTCTATTAATTTTTTTTAATTGCAAAAATCTATATGTTCAGGTGGTTTATCCGAATAAGTTGGCTCATATGTACGTTGCCTCGCATGAACAATATCAAAATAATTTTGCTTATAAGAAGGTAAGTCTCATCGACACCTGCAATAAATCCGCTTCCTAAATTACTAAAGAACTTAACAATAGATAGCTGAAATTACAAGATGGGTTTCTCAATTTTGAGGCATACTGAAGTTCCTTGCATATAGGGTATTTCTTAAGATTTAAAGAAATGAGAATACCTGTTCCGTCATGCGCATTACCAAAGTTTGTGCAGTAGAGTTTATAACTCGCAATGAAATCTTACGGTGTTGCAAATATTTTAGCCTAT